TCCAAATCTATTTCTAATAATAATATATATATAAGCTGGGTGGCCGAGTGATCTAAACTGAGTCAAACTCCAGCCTATGGTCTGGAATATAATTCCAAAGCCTAGTCAAGCAAAGATATATCACAAGCATCCCTGGTAGATGGGACTCATTAACCTTCGTGACTCATCTAAGATAAGGAAATTCTGAATTCAGACCAGTAAATCTACAAATATATAAATATGTAAATAATGATTGAAAAATTCCATAAATGACATAAAATGTATGAAAATAAGTTAAAATATTTAGGATGTCATCCCAAACATTCAGAATTCAATTTGAACTTTGCAGAGCTTCTATTAAACTAAAAAGGTCCCCACAGACACCTCATATAAAATTGAAAACAACATAAAATCACACTCTTTATATGGACGACACAGTTGAGTGATTTTTCATGTTCGAAATCCTTTAAAATAATACAATTTGTGCATATAAAGGGACACAGCCTTCCGATGACGTAACGTGGAAATATAAATGCATCCCCAAAGAAACCAAAAGAATTTCCATTGCAGTGGTTTTAAACCTTTTTTTTTTTGAATAAAGGATCCCTTTTCACAATCAGGTTCTATGGCCAGCCCCAAGCCCTATCGATTGTCTTTCAAGTTCAAGATGTTATCTCTTTCTTGGAGTGGACCCCGATCCCCCCCCTCCAAATATCTGACGTCTTTGCTCCACGGATACACATTTAAATTATACAGCATCCAAATATCTGACGTCTTTGCTCCACGGATACACATTTAAATTATACAGCATCCAAATATCTGACGTCTTTGCTCCACGGATACACATTTAAATTATACAGCATCCAAATATCTGACGTCTTTGCTCGACGGATACACATTTAAGTTATACAGCATCCAAATATCTGACGTCTTTGCTCCACGGATACACATTTAAATTATACAGCATCCAAATATCTGACGTCTTTGCTCCACGGATACACATTTACATTATACAGCATCCAAATATCTGACGTCTTTGCTCCACGGATACACATTTAAATTATACAGCATCCAAATATCTGACGTCTTTGCTCCACGGATACACATTTAAATTATACAGCATCCAAATATCTGACGTCTTTGCTCGACGGATACACATTTAAGTTATACAGCATCCAAATATCTGACGTCTTTGCTCCACGGATACACATTTAAATTATACAGCATCCAAATATCTGACGTCTTTGCTCCACGGATACACATTTACATTATACAGCATCCAAATATCTGACGTCTTTGCTCCACGGATACACATTTAAATTATACAGCATCCAAATATCTGACGTCTTTGCTCCACGGATACACATTTAAATTATACAGCATCCAAATATCTGACGTCTTTGCTCCACGGGTACAAATTTAAATAGCAAAGTTTAGATTGAAATGTAAAAGTGAACTTTAAAGTCTAATGTAAAAGTGAAGTTTAAAGTCTAATGTACAAGTGAAGTTTAAAGTCTAATGTACAAGTGAAGTTTAATGTCTAATGTACAAGTGAAGTTTAAAGTCAAATGTAAAAGAGAAGTTTAAAGTCAAATGTAGAAAATAAATCTAAAGTTCGAATGTAAAAGTGGACTTTAAAGTCAAATGTAAAAGTGAAGTTTAAAGTCTAAGTTAAAAGTGAAGTTTAAAGTCTAATGTACAAGTGAAGTTTAAAGTCAAATGTAAACGTGAAGTTTAAAGTCAAATGTAGAAAATAAATCTAAAGTTCGAATGTAAAAGTGGAGTTTAAAGTCAAATGTAAAAGTGAAGTTTAAAGTCAAATAAAAATAGAAGTTTAAAATCAAATGTACAATTGAAGTTGAAAGTCAAATGTAAAAGAGAAGTTTAAAGTCAAATGTAAAAGAGAAGTTTAAAGTCAAATGTAAAAGAGAAGATCAAAGTCAATGTAAAAGAGGGGCTTAAAGTTAAATGTATCAAAAAAGTTTAAAGTCAAATGTAAAAGTGAAGTTTAAAGTCAAATGTAAAAGTGAAGTTTAAAGTCAAATGTAAAAGTGAAGTTTAAAGTCAAATGTAAAAGTGAAGTTTAAAGTCAAATGTAAAAGTGAAGTTTAAAGTCAAATGTAAAATTGAAGTTTAAAGTCAAATGTAAAAGTGAAGTTTAAAGTCAAATGTAAAAGAGAAGTTTAAAGTCAAATGTAAAAGTGAAGTTTAAAGTCAAATGTAAAAGGGAAGTTTAAAGTCCAATGTAAAAAATAAATCTAAAGTCAAATGTAAAAGTGGAGTTTAAAGTCAAATAAAAATAGAAGTTTAAAGTCAAATGTACAATGGAAGTTTAAAGTCAAATGTAAAAGAGAAGTTTAAAGTCAATGTAAAAGAGAAGTTTAAAGTCAATGTAAAAGAGAGGCTTAAAGTCAAATGTATCAAAAAAGTTTAAAGTCAAATGTAAAAGTGAAGTTTAAAGTCAAATGTAAAAGTTAAGATTAAAGTCAAATGTAAAAGTTAAGATTAAAGTCAAATGTAAAGTGAAGTTTAAAGTCAAATGTAAAGTGAAGTTTAAAGTCTAAGTTAAAAGTGAAGTTTAAAGTCAAATGTAAAAGTGAAGTTTAAAGTCAAATGTAAAAGTTAAGATTAAAGTCAAATGTAAAGTGAAGTTTAAAGTCAAATTTAAAGTGAAGTTTAAAGTCTAAGTTAAAAGTGAAGTTTAAAGTCTAATGTACAAGTGAAGTTTAAAGTCAAATGTAAAAGTGAAGTTTAAAGTCAAATGTAAAAGTTAAGATTAAAGTCAAATGTAAAGTGAAGTTTAAAGTCAAATGTAAAAGTGAAGTTTAAAGTCTAAGTTAAAAGTGAAGTTTAAAGTCTAATGTACAAGTGAAGTTTAAAGTCTAAGTTAAAAGTGAAGTTTAAAGTCTAATGTAAAGTGAAGTTTAAAGTCAAATGTAAAAGTGAAGTTTAAAGTCTAAGTTAAAAGTGAAGTTTAAAGTCTAATGTAAAGTGAAGTTTAAAGTCAAATGTACAAGTGAAGTTTAAAGTCAAATGTAAAAGTGAAGTTTAAAGTAAAAGTAAAAGTGAAGTTTAGATTCATCACTGTGAGTTCTCACATTTCAACCACAGTAACAGTTTTTTTACAAAGGCCATTGCAGTAACACAGCATGACTTTAGGTTATTTTATGAAATAAAAGATGTCATGACATCTAGGACATATATGTAAGAGTTACAAGTGTAACAAGGTGTCCTCATTTTATAGTCATTTTCATTGTTTCTATAGTATAGTAGTTACTATCCTAGTGTCTCATTTTTATTTTACTTAGTTTACATGTTTTTAATAATTGTAAAGCGCTTAGATCTTTAAGGTAAGTGCTATATAAAAATGCCTAAATAAATAAACAAGCCGTAAAATATTTGTTAAAATATAACAAGGCCAAACTGCTGTTTGCCTGATCAGTAAGTTAACTCTACAGTGACAGGGTGTTATGGATTATCTATTTAAAATATTAGTTGTTTTTTTTTTTTCCGGAAGGATGGTTCAGCTAAGAAATAAACAGATGGAAGTGTGTTGATTGGCCGGTCGGGATCATTGCTGATTCATCAGATTGCTAATCTGAAGTGGATTGAGGGATTGCCTGCTCTCGATGGTCTAAATTTTGCTTAGTTCATGTAGATTGTTTCTCTCAAAGTTTTTTTAAAACTTTCTTCTGAGCCATGGTTTCCTTGGAGTTATCTCTACTATTTGAAAAAAAAAAAAAGCATTGTTTACGTACGCACTAAATAAATATTTAGCATTAAATCAGAACAGACATGTACTCAGGGACGTCATTTGGGTACGGCAGTGTCCCCCCGCCCCTTCCTACCCTGAAAAATCCAGAAATGACGCCCTTGCATGTACCGCCGTAACAAACCAACAAAAAAATATGAACAAGTGCATCATTAAAATAATATTTAAATAACGTCATGGAAGTGTAAAATATTGAGAATAAATAAATTATTTAATTTTGTTTAAAAATTATTCAAATGTTTATCTTATTTAATTTTAAATAATAGATGTCTTAAATTTAACCCAATAATTCTTGAATATAAAAAAATAATCTTAAATGATAAATATTTAAAGCAAAAAATTAGACAGATTATATTTAAAGCTGATATATACAAAAAAGTAAGACATTCAATGAAAATATGTGTACTGTCAGAATAGATTCGACAAATCAAAATTCTGTCAACAGCCTTTTAATGAGTTTCTTTATACAGGTCACCTACATACATAACGGCAAATGTTTTAAGCATTTATGTAAAGCATAACTGAAGTCATTTCTGTACCCATAACCGTATTCAAGTATGTAACCATAACGGAAATCAATTCTGTAAGAGCAACAGTAATCATTTGTGAAACCATCACTGTATTCATTTCTGACATCATAACTGTAATCATTCCTGGAACCATAGCTGTAATCATTTCTAAAAGTATATTGTAATTATTTCTGTAATCACCAATGTTATCATTTCTGAAATCATAACTGTAATCTTTTCTGAAACCATAAAGGTAATCAATTCTAAAATCATAACTGTAATCATTTATGCAAATCATAACTCTAATCATTTCTGTAATCGAACCTTAGCCATTTCCGAAGCCATAACTTTATTCATTTCTGTAATCATAACTGTAATTATTTGGGTGATTTTTAAATGCACCATTGACTGTAAAATGAAACAAACTGAAACTGCAGTAGAGTAACACAGATCGTTAGGTTTCTTTTCACCAACACATGGACCATCAAATTAAATCTAACTTGTACGTAAGAATTATTCCAAAACTACAATAACTCATTATCTACTTCACGATATCTTCTACTAATAATTTTGGCTACGCACTATAAAAACGATACAACATCTAAATTATTTCTACACACCAATACCGATAACATATCAGAAATCACTCCAAAATCAAAATCCACCCAAATCATAACTCTTCCTCAATACTTCTGCCAATAGCACGTGAGAACTGATTCCAAAATTAAAATCCATGTAAATCACATCTCCTCTCGAATACTTCGACCAATAGCACGTGAGAGCTGATTCCAAAAGTCGTCCATCATTTCATCAGACGCTTCGTCTCTTGGCGGGAATTCAATGTAGTTATTTTGTTTCATGGCGGTGAGCAGGTCATGTGATAAATCCCTGTTATCGGTTGGTTCGTACATGCACAGGAAGAGCACGGAACGGTGCATGAATATTTCTTCCATCAGCGCCATCTTGACGCCATACTCGGAATACTCGCCTTGGTAAAACTCCGGTGTTACCATGGCAACAGTCCTGGCACTGTTCTGCACGCCACTGACGATGTTGGACACGTTGTAGGTACCCGGTAGAAAGTCTCTCTCCTCAATACACAGACGGTGACCTCTTTTCTCTTCTAGCTCACGAACACAGTCGCGTACGACAAATCTCCTGGTGTCGTCTGAGTAAAGAATGTAAGCATCGAATTTGTACCCGATCTTGACAGCGCCGGGTCTGGAGCCAACCATTTTGACCAAAGCTATGCTCCGTAAATATCTCAGCTTCCATCGGTATCGATACATCAGGGAAGCGAGCAACAAAATAACGAATACAATAAAAGAAAAAACACAGCTGAGTATTATGACAATTTTTGAAGCACATTGACGCTGTAAAGTTTCCACGCGTTGGGCGAGATCTCCAATTTCCAACACTTGATTGTACTCATTCCTACACACGAGAAAATCCTTGTTCAAAAGATAAACATTGGTCAAGGTCATCCATTTCATCAGCTCAAGTCCTTCGCACGTGCACGGTAAAGGGTTAGAGGTCAAATCGAGATAAACCCGATGGTCGGTTGCTATGGAATCCAGTTCGTCTCGAGACTGCTTACTGATCGATGTTATTGAGTTCGTACTGAAGTCAAGAATTCTTATTTCAGTCATATGAGCAAAACTGATGTTTATCATCTGAAGTTTGTTTTTGGAAATGTCTAGAATTTGAAGTTCGGCCAGACTTTTTAAGTAATCATTGGCCAGTTCTGTGATGAAATTACTCGACATGTCAAGGGCAATAAGTCGCTTCGTGTTTACGAAAAACAAACTTTCCGTATCGTATTGAAAAGCAGTTCCCAATAAATTGTTAGAAAATAAGAGGTACTTTAATGAGCTGTTCTGTGGGAAGAAAAAAATGTTGAAATAGTCCGCGTAGTTGCCGCTAAAATCTGCTATTTCAAGACCAGGCATTAAACTCAGAGAAGCCCAAGTCTTAAAATCCCCACCAGCAAGACTTAACTCCCTCAGTGAGTAGTTAGGAAACATATCACAGTAGAAGAACAAAAAATGTCCAAACTGTCTAAATTTGTCTCCCCGCAAAATTCGTAATTTAGGAGGGAGACAATCTTTTGAAACTTCGATGGTCTCTGTGTTAATTTTTTTCTTTTTTTGTTTGGGGTTCTGCATTTTAAAGAATTTTCCCGATTTCCGTATTTCAGAAATTAAGAATATGTTTGAGGAATGTTCATTTTCTGTCCCATTCAACAACTTCGTCACGTGACGTGAACTAGTTCCGCCATCATCATGGCATGGATAATAAACATTGTACTGGTTGTTAAGGTTTAATTCGATGAGTTCCCTTGGGAACTTATCCAAGCTGTCAAATATTGTATAGGGCAAGCCGTTACTACTTAAATCGATCTTCTTTAACGATGCTGGTAACATTGCAATGAAATCTGGACTCAGGTAGGTAAGGTAGTTCCCAGACAGGTCAAGCTCAACCAACTTTAACATTGTTAAGTACTTGGCGTCTTTGGCTCTGAGTTCTTTGCAACCGCACGCTCGGTCATTGATGTGACGCAATGTTAAATATGTTAAAGAAGAATTCAGCAGATATTGAATGTCACTCAAAACCTGGCATATGTTGTTTTCTGAAGCTGTTCCGGGCGCATATGTTAAGTTAACCAAGTTTTTAAGTTTTCTACACGCCTTTGGATCTATGTACGGGCTGAGTATGGACAATTGTAGCGTCGTTATGAAAGGTACGTTATCAAAATAGGATTCGTCAGTAAAGTTATCTGTTCTTGGTGATGTTATTATCAAATGCCTCAAATGTACAAGGCTCTTAACTTCTGGTCCTAAGCCACGTCTATCTGCCCCATCGATGCTAAGAAATGTTAGATTCCTTAGTACCTGAAGAGCATTGTTGGGGTATGTTCCACACAGGTAGGTTCCTTTTTCTCAGATGTTAATCATATATAATTTTTCTAGATTTTTCAACGGGATGAAAATACGAACAGGCAATAGGTCATAATCCTTGTAGATTATCTGGTTTCTACTAATGTCAAGGCTGACAAGTGTACTTAGGTCATCAAATGTATCATCGGGAATAAAGTTGATATAGTTTGATGAAACAGACAGGGAGCGCAAACTATAGAGTCCAGTGAACATCTGTCTTGTTAGATTTCTTATTCTGTTGTCACTAAGCGATAGTCGGAGAAGATTGGAAAATGGTAAAAAACTGGAATCTTCAACTGTTCTTATTCGATTCCCAGTTAGATCCAATTCAGTGACTGTAGAAGTAGAATTTGTGCTATTATATCTGAGAACTTTGAATATGCCGGAAAATGTGATTTGAACATACGTCAGAGAAGAATACATTAAAAATGTACTGCTGTCAAACACCTCAAGTCTGCGACAATCGTCAATAAATATTGCATCAATATCAACCGGCCAATTTTGAGGGATACTTGTAATATTAGGCTGTTCACAAAAGACGGTCACTAAATGTGAACTGATATTTTTGCAAACGCACGGCGGACATTTAAAGGAATCCAGCGTTTGAAACTTGTCATAAAAATAAGGGCGTTGCTTGCCATCATAAGAAACCATCTGAGTTTTCTTGCCATCCGCAAAGTTTGTCCGGTATTTTCGGAGACTGTTGGACACTAGTAGTGTGTTTCGGTCTTTGAAGTTGCGATTCTCGTATCTACCCAGCCGCTGCTCGAACCCTTGAGGTGATGTGAAGATGCCGCTGGTGGTCAAGGATCCAGTGTCCCGCAACGCGACACATTCAATGATAGTTTCAAGGCATACCAAGGCGGCGAGCTTCAACCATGGTATTTTTGACGTCATTCTAGTGAGAAAATATTTTTAAAAATTTAAAACCTAAAAACAAAGGGTTTTTTTTTACAAATAAATCATTGATGAAATATAAACGCCGAGCATTGGGGCGGGGGGAAAGGGGGGGGGGGCTGAAAATTTGACAAAACACGCATAAAAGTAACGCACTTTATAAAAATCCAAAATAGTGCCGCCCTACCACAGGTTCGCAGCCGCACATTTTTCCACGCCCTTAAATAATATTAATATTCTAATGACCCACCCGCTGTTACACTGCATATTTATTTCATCAAATGTTTTAGAAAAACCAAAATTAAATATTACGCACCAAACACATTTGCGCTGGGTTGTTTTTTTAAGAATCTCATTTAGCGCAGTTATCGGGAATTTTATTTCGTAACATCAGTGGCCTTGTATTTCCTTCATCTTTCCTATAAAAACCTAATTTTGGGGGGATGGGGCAAAAGATGTGGTGATGCTAAATTTGATAGAAAGTTCTATCAACTGTGTACCAATTTTTAGCTCGATTAGTTGACGTGAAGTGGGTCCATTAGCTCTCTCAAGCTTTTTTTCCAAAACACACAGAAAGCGAAGTTAATTTAAAGGATTTGAAAATACTTAAATTTAAAAGCCACAATAAGGACAATCTAATTGATTAAAAAATTTATTGATGCCTGTCACAGATCAAATATCTAAATATTATTTTTGGTTTCGGGATAATGTATTGTTTTGTTAAGTAGAAAGAACAGGAAGTTAAGGGAGCTATGGGATAGTGAGTGAAGGACCAGGATGAATGGCCGTTTGAGTATTTTGCTTGATTAGCACTTACTATGATTACTTTTGTATAAAACAGCCTGTTAATGTTGAGTCAACACATGTGAAGTGGAACTGTTATGACAGTTAGATTTGCTCTAGTTTACAGAGGTATTATTTCATGTGGTGTACATTATTCAGTTAATCAATGTTGTGATGCAAAGTCTTGTAGTTCTAGCCAACATGCTTTGTTAGATAACCATGGACGTCTGTGAATGTGAATAAATAATTATAAGCAATAACTACAAGTAGTATCATCACCTCATGATTGTTACAATTCCCATTTTAAATTATGGCACAAGGCTAATTATAGATATTTGACACACATAAAACACATGACTCAAGCAGTCCTAGAGCAAGGGGAAATAATTGTATAAATTGTGATGTAGCGAATGTTCACAATCATTAGTATTTCTCTTTTATTTTTTCCACACCTTCAACATTTTGGACCATGCATTCAACCTACCGGCCGCCTGTCAACAACAGTCCTACAGACAGCCTTACAACCTACCTGCAAGCCTTTGAAGAATAGGTCTACATTAAATCCTACGCTCTACTTGCCGGCCTTTAAACAATAGTATTGCAGCCATTGCTGCACCCTACCTGCTTGCATTTAACAAAAAGGCCTACATACATTCCTACACCATCAAATCAATACTCAAATCAAGAAAACCATATGGAGTTTTTAAGTTGACATCATTAAACTTGTGTGAAATGCTAAATTTTATTATTATACAGAACACCAAAATGAACAACAACTGGAAACAACACATTTTTTCCTGCGATTATAAAAAAAAATTTTTTATTAGAAAAGAAACACAGCAACAGCCATTCATTTCACTGTTAAAATTTGTTTTCAAAATATATTTTTTATATCATAGTATACGTAGACTAGATATAGCCCGCAAAATATTCGCGACAGAAGGGCGTGCAGTTACTATCTACTAAAGTCACTTGACAAAACATGAACTCAAGTTACGCACATTTAAGAATCCCAATATTTGCTACACCCCCTTCCCCCCATGATACCTCACGGCACACTTTTTATCTCACGCCCTTGAACTCTATTAAATATTCTGATGTTCTAACCACATTTAAACCGAACATTTTTTTTTTTTACATCATACTTAAATTGAGACGATTTCACATTCCGAAAAGAAAATATTACGCGCCAAACGCAGTTGCCTTATTTTTTTTTAATATTAGAGATGTAGCGTAGTTATCCAGAATTATATATTGCGTGCTGTACAACTCATTATTGAACCATATATTCGTTGAAACATTTAAAATTATTTGTAATATACTCTCAATACCAAATTCGCTGATTAGGAAGCACGCCATTAGGACGCAGTCCATGAGTTACACCATAAGCGTTATATATATACATATATACATATAAGAGATATAGTGCATCATTTTTATTTATATAACGGAGGTATCAATTTAGTTGTATCAGGATATCAGATTGTAAAAAGGAAAATCACCTTGTTAATATTGGGAATGTTTTAAAATATCCGTTAACCCTTTACTCAATGCATTTATCGACGGATATTTATTTGTAACTGTTTCTTGTACCGTTCTATATTCAACGCGCTCATCAATACGAAAAACAAAAAAATCGATAGATTGAAATATAACTTACGTCTACTTAACGTTTGCAGCAGCACGCGAAATTTTTTTTTTTTTAAAGTTATAACTGAACATGTAGGATAATTTCTCTATAACGTTCGTTAAAGCTTTCAGACAGATCCACGAATATTGCACCGCAAGAAAAACCCTGATTTTAAGAGGGAGATCACTTCAAGTGCCGAGGCTGCATCCCGTCTGCACGAGGTTCTCGACATGTCCCACCCAAGCCGCTCTGCCGACTATTGAACGAAGTTTCATTAAGTCAGGGGTTCTCAAATGACATAAGAGAGATTTGGTATTTAAAGTCGTGAAATTATTTTGACATTTATTTACGGGTTCCGTACGTCGTGTACGTTAGCGACCTGTTCTACGTTAGCGACCTGTTCTACGTTAGCGACCTGTTCTACGTTAGCGACCTGTTCTACGTTAGCGACCTGTTCTACGTTAGCGACCTGTTCTACGTTAGCGACCTGTTCTACGTTAGCGACCTGTTCTAAAGAACAATTACGTCGACGACAGCTAAACACTTTTGTAAATGCTTGGAAACCGTTGCGGGGGTCAACCCAAAATAATACGACAAATTTTTTTTTTCTTTTTTTTTTCTTTTACAAATATTATTTAATGTTATTTTGCTCTTAAGGAAACAGCTAATTCACATCTTCTTAAATAGGATATTTAATGCCCCTTGGTGCATATGTATGTATGTATGTATGTATGAATGTATAGAAAGTAGAAAGGTGTTGCCACATGCTGACTGCTGGTACGTGTCTATTTATAGAACGGTTTTGTTGAATAAATTCACCGATATTCAATGTATATTCCACATTAAAACTTAACTTAATAATTTGTCATGAAAAAAAAACAAAAAAAAAAAACGGCTATTAAATGTTTCTTCTGACTTGTGCGAGTGAATAGGATGATCACCGAAAACAAATGTATTTTATGTGTTTCCCGTCAACTAGAAATGTAACGAAATAATAGAAAGGCGAAAACTTTCAACGGTCCGCCAAACGCAACAAAATTTGGGAATCACTGATCAGGTTAAGTCTTTAGAATAATTTAATAAAAATCTTAACACCTCTACATGAATATCAAATAGGAAGTTTAAGAGATTTTTTTGATAACTAGCTTTCTCATGTTCAAACCCACCCCGTTTAGAATTTTCATTTACAAATTTTTATTTTGGTTTCAGTTTTAGAAAAAAAAATGTTTTGTAAATCAACTGATACAAATATCTAGGGACATATAAAATATGTTGGGTTAAAGTAGATTCAAAAGTTTTTCATTACGCTCAACGAGTTAATTAATTTGTAATTTACTCGAAAACAATTTATAGTAATTTAAGATTACAGATAAACATTTCAATCTACTCATCTTTATCTAATTTATATACCCCTAATGGAATCTAAGTAGGACTTTGAAAATAATATCTTTTTCAAAATAATACATGCAAATTATTGTGCCATTGTTTTATTTTTGTTCAACATGTATAATATTTACTGGGGGGGGGGTGGGGGGATATGCTTTTTTGTGTGATGGTACGCTCATGTACGGCGACCTTGTACAGTATCTTCTCTGTACAACGTCATCTCTATTCCGTGATCAGGCAACTGCCTGTTCCTATAATCGGTTTATTTCTTGGCACAAACGGTTGACGAAGGCAATGCACCCTCCCTATTGCTTATTGTAGAAATGAGAAAATTAACCCTTCTTTCTTAACACTTGGACTCACCGGGTATTTTCTCAAACTACCAAGACACGGTGCAAAAAAACAACAAAAAAAACAACAACATAAAAACATTGGATCAGTTAAGCCCAAAGTATTCAAATATTTCAAGCTAGCCGCTCGATATATTCTTAACATCACGATAATTTCTCTGACCAACAAGGACCCGCTACATTATGTAATTCGCACATTGGTCAGTCTTGTCAACTCCACCCGCTACAATAGATAGCGCGTTGTTCTAACATTGATAGCATACTCAAACTTCAACTCCTGAAACTGAAATGCTGTGTCGTAATTCATAATTCAAACTTTCATTGCGTTTTGA